TCTATCTATCTATCTATCTATCTATCTATCTATCTATCTATCTATCTATCTATCTATCTATCTATCTATCTATCTATCTATCTATCTTCAGGTTATCAAGGACTCAGTATTTTCATTTTTGTTTTAATAAAATGTTCCTGTAATGTGACAAATTAACAAATGTAGAACATTTCACCTACAATGTTTCCAGGATGTTTGGAGATGTTGTTGAGGGAACATGCTTTGACAGAACATTCCCAAAAGGTTACATAGTAATAGTTCTGATTGAAACATTAGGTTTTAGGAGGAACACTTCAGAATATCTGAAGAACTTTTTCCTGCTGTAAGAAAAAAACATTCAGAGAGCTAACAACAAACTTCCAGCTGAAATCATGACTGCTCATCTAGCATCTTAGTTCCTCCCACTAGAGATTCTCATCACATTCCATTATGAGTTTGGCTGTAACAAAACAATGAACAGTTGATGCAGCTGAGCCACATGTCATGTTTAACTAATGTTACCATAAGACACAGCTCTGAAGAAGGATGTCTTATTTTGTGAAATGCCTTTTGCCGTGACTCCTCTCTCCTTTGTCTCTTCCTTCCCTCCTCCACTCGCATCTCTGGTGGCAGAAACCAATAAAAGTGGGGATGGTTTGTATATTCCAGCTGTGTGCTATGCCTCATTTATACATCACAGGTCTGCAAAGGATACAGCCATGATACACTTGCATCGTCACTCGTAACTCCACCGACAAGCCTCCTCTTTGGCAGGATGCATGCAATTATACTACTTTGTCATAATTTTGCACCTGAGGCTTTGACTGTCTTGCTCATGTATTTGTCTCAGTCTGCGATGTTGGTGCTCTTGCCAGCTCAAGCTTGTTACTCGAGCAGGACACTGTAATGTATGTGATGGATCTTCTGCTGCAAAGAGGATTGTGGGTAAGGATGCCCAGGAAAGCATGCTGGCTTGCAGACTGTATAATGAGACTGGATGTAGTAGGACATCCTGGTATTTGACTTACTGTATTTGACATACTATGCACTGGTAATATGGATATTGGAAAACACCCCAAGATGTCCTTCGAGATGGCAATTTCCACGGATGGAGAACATAGGCACCTGTGGAGCTCATGAGATAATTAAATGTTCTACTGCATGGGATAAGTAGCCTGCACGTAAGACTCTTATGTCAAAAGTGTCCTTTTTCTGCTCAGGACACCCGCCTGCTTGAGACATTACACTGTTCCCTCGTGGGCTTTGTGTGATGGGAACAACAGTTTTAGACAAATTGTTCTACAAATAGTTCCATCCATCCATTATCTATACACCGCTTAATCCCCACTTGGGTCACGGGGGGCTGGAGTCTATCCCAGCTGACTCAGGGTGAAGGCAGGGGACACCCTGGACAGGTCACCAGTCCATTACAGGGCCACACTTAGAGACAGACAACCAAGCACACTCACATTCACACCTACGGACAATTTAGAATCACCAATTTACCTCAACATGTTT